AGAGAGTTATGAATTGGAGAAAAACAAAAAGGGGAAGAAGAAGAAAAAAAAGAATCAATAAATAGAAACTAGAAATAAAAAAGAACAGCGAAGCTCCCAGGGATCCCACTGGTGCGGTTACAAGATCTGGGGAGGTTGTTCCCAGGTGTTGAAGTACAGCCTGGCTAGGAGGTTTAGAGGTATTCAGTGACAGAAATCCAGGGGACAGGAAGAGAAGGAGGGTATAGAGAGCTGAGAAACTGAGTAATGAAGAAAGACAAAAATAGGGAAAAGAAAACAAAAGAAATTAAAAAAAAAAAAAAAGAAATGTCCCCCAAAAAACCGTGAAGAAGAAATGACCTCAGGGATCCCTCTGCACATCTGTGCAAGCTGAGGGTGTAGGTCCCAAGCTGCGTAGCACTGCCTTGCCAGAACAGGCTCCCAACTCGAGAAAAGAGAAGGAAAACAAACAATTCAAAACAAAGAAACAAAAGCTCCAGGATCCCACCAGCGTGGCAGGACAGACTGGGAAGCAGTTCCACACTCGACCGGGGCTCCGCAGCCCCTTAGGAAGAAACAAAGATGGCATATAGAGCCAGGTATTTGAGCAAAAGGAGGGGGAGGTGGTGAGAGGTAAGGAAGAAATCAAAAGGAGTGGAAAAAAGCAACACGAGTAGCCAGCAAATGACACTCAGGGAGTTGGCCAGTGCAGGCAGGTGGAATCCATGCAGCTGGTGCTTCCCGGCGAAGAGACTGTGGCCATGGGAAGCAGAGGAGGCCAAGTGGGGGGTGAAGAAGGGTGGGGGTGGGAAAGTGTATATCGGCAATTACTGGTTGTTCTGTCTCCTGCTGCAAGCTCTGTGAAGCTGCTTTCTCGTATCCCCTATTTGCTGGTCTCTGATGGGAGTCCAGGATGTTGGCTCTGCGCTGCGTTAGCTGATGGGGACCTTTGCATGAACCTCTCCTCGCTTTCTGTTCTCTGTCAGTTTCTCGCTCCATTTGGTGCTTGGCTGAGTTCTTTATCTTTTCATTTGATGTTTTAGGGTTTCAGGATTGCTGTTTTCTCTGTTTGGCTTAGTTTTTCAGATCTTTGCTGGGGAGGGATGGTGTGGTGCTTCTGCCTAGAGCGCCATGTTGCCAGAAGTCCCTCACTTAGTATAATTTTTTAAAATGTTATTTATTTTTGTTGAGAATATACATAGCAAATTTGTACCAATCCAACAGTTTCTACATGTACCATTTAGTGACATTGATTACATTCTTCAAGTTGTGCAGCCATGCTCACCCTCCTTTTCTGAGTTGTTCCTCCTTTATTAACATAACTTCACTGTCCCCTAAGGTTCCTATCTAATCTTTTGAGTTGCTGTTGTCAGTTTGATCCCATAGAGATAGTTCTTAAAAGAGCATAATGCTCAAGGCAGACATTTTTTACTAGTTAAACTAAACTTTTGTTTGGTTTTAAAAACACTTCAGGGGATATTTTTGGTTTAAGGTTTAAAGATTATCTCGGGGCAGTAGTTTCAAGTGTTCTTCCAACCTTCATGGTTCCAGGAAGTCTGGAGTCCATGAGAATTGGAACTTCTGCATTTTTTCTCTTTTGATCAGGGTTCTTCTATGGAATCTTTGATCACAATGTTCAGTAAAGGTAGCTGGGCACTATCCAGTTCTGGTATCATGGCAAAGGAGGCAGTTATTCATAAAGGCAATTAGCCACATATTCCATATCCTCCTGCTATTCCTTACTCTTCTTCCTCTGTTGTTCCTGGTGAAAAGAGACCAGTTGGATGACTGTTTGCAAGCTTTTAAGATCCTAGGCACTATGCAGTGAACTAGGAGGTAGAACAGAAGCTCTAAACACATTATTAGGTCAATTAACTGGGATGTCCCATGAAACCATGACCCTAAACCTCCAAACCAAGAAACCAAATCCCAGAAGGTGTTTGGTTATACATAAGCAGTGTCAGCAGCTACTCTTTTGTGTGTGTGTGTCATTGTTGTATATGTATCTATCTATCACACAACTTGCCAGTTCAACTTCTGACAGGCGTACAACCTATTGACAGGAATTACAATAATTGGCTGTGCAACCCTACCCTTAATCAGTGTGATTATTTCCATCACCGCTAACCCTCCTCTTCCCCCATCCCTCCTACCCCTGGTAACCACTAATAAACTTTGTTCTCTGTGCATATGCCTTTTCTTGTCTTTTTATATAAGTGAGGTCATACAATATTTGTCCTTTTGTGATTGACTTATTTCTCTCAGCATGATGTCTTCCAGCTCCATCCATATTGTAGCATGTATTAAGACTTCATTTCTCGGACTCACTGATTTTAAAACATACTGTACAGCTACGGTAATCAAAACAGCCTGGTACCGGTATAACAATAGACACATAGACCAATGGAATAAAATTAAGAGTCCAGAAGTAAACCCACACATCTGTGGTCACTTGATTTTTGGCAAGGGTGCTAAGTCCATTGACTAGAGGAAGAAGAGGCTCTTTAATAAACAGTGCTGGGAAGATTCTGTTTCCACATGCAGAAAAATGATGTAGGATCCATGCCTCATGCCATACACAAAACCAAATTCAAAGTAGATTAAGGACCTAAATGTGAAAAGTAAAACCATTAAATTCTTAGAAGAAAAAGCAGTAGCAACACTGTCGGGCTAGTTTTTAACAGTGGATTATCTAATATAATAACAAAAGCACAAACAGCAAAAGACAAATGGGATCTCATAAAAATTAAAAACTTTTTGGTCATCAAAAAACTTCACCCAGGGGAAAAAAAATCACTTCATTTCTCCTACTGACTGAGTAGTATTCCATTGTAAGTATGTACCACATTTTGTTTATCCATTTATCCATTGGTGAGTATTTAGGTTTCCACCTTTTGGCTATTGTGAATAGTGCTGCAGTGAACATTGGTGTACAAGTCTCTTTTTGAGTCTCTGCTTTCAAGTCTTTTGGCTATATACCTAGGAGTGGAATTGCTGGGTCATATGGTAGTTCTATTTTTAGTTTTTTGAGAAACCACCACAATTTTCCACAGCAGCTGTACCACCAGCAATTGGTAAGGGTTCTAGTTTTTCCACATCCTCCCCAACATTTGTTATTTTCTGTTTTTTTTAAATTTTCACCATCCTAGTAGGAGTGAAATGATACCTCATTGTGGTTTTAATCTGCTACTCTCTGATGACTAACACTATGAGTTGGAATCAACTTGACAGCAACGGGTTGTTTTGGGTTGATGGCTAATGATGCTGAGCATCTTTTCATGTGTTTGGCAGCCATTCGTATATCTTCTTTGGTGAGGTGTCTGTTCAGGTTCTTTGCCCATTTTATGATTGGGTTATTTGTATTTTTGTGGTTGTTGAAGTTTTATATTTATTTTGATTATTAGATTCTTATCGGATATATTGTTGTTGTTAGGTGCTGTTGAGTTGGTTCCGACTCATAGCGACCCTGTGTACAACAGAACGAAACATTGCCCAGTCCTGTGCCATTTTCACAATCGTCATTATACTTGAGCCCATTGTTACAGCCACTGTGTCAGTCCATCTCACTGAGGGTCGTCTTCTTTTTTGCTGACCCTCTACTTTACCAAGCATAATGTCCTTTTCCAGGGACTGATCCCTTCTGATAACATGTCCAAAATATGTGAGAAGTCTCGCCATCCTCGTTTTTGAGGAGCATTCTGGCTGTGCTTCTTGAAGACAGATTTGTTTATTTTTTGGCAGTCCCTGGTGTATTCAGTATTCTTCGCCAACACCATCATTCAAAGGCATCAATTCTTCGGTCTTACTTACTCATTGTTCAGCTTTCACATGCATATGAGGCAATTGAAACACTATGGTTTGGGTCAGGTGCAATATGTTTTCCAAAGATACTCTCCCAGTCGGTAGCTTGTCTTTTCACTTTTTTGGTAAAGTCGTTTGATGAACAAATTTTTTAATTTTTATGAGGTCCCATTTTTTTTTGCTGTTTGTGCTTTTGTTATTTATTATATTAGGTAATCCATTGTTAAAAGATAGGCCTGACAGCTTTGCCCTGCTTTTTCTTCTAAGAATTTTATGGTTTTAGTTTTCACATTTAGATCCTTAATCCACTTTGAATTTGTTTTTGAGTATGGTGTGAGGTATATATCCTGTGTTGTTTTTCTGCATATGGAAATCCATTTTTCCCAGCACCATTTATAGAAGAGACTCTTCTTTCCCCGTCCAATGGACTTAGTTAGCATCCTTATCAAAAATCAGGTGACCATAAATGTGTGGGTTTATTTCTGGACTCTCAATTCTGTTCCACTGGTCTGTGTATCTATTGTTATGTCAGTACCAGGCTGTTTTGATTACTGTAGCTATTTAGTATGTTTTAGAAATCAGGAAATGTGAGTCCTCCTACTTTGTTCTTTCAGCATTGCTTTAGCTGTTCTGAGCCTCTTGCCATTCCGTATAAAGTTGAGGACTTAGCATAATATTTTTGAAGTTCATCCATGTTGTAGCATGCATTAATGTTTCATTTCTTTTTATGGCTGAGTAATACTTCTCTGTATGGATAAACTACATTTTGTTTATGCATTTATCTGTTGAAGAATATCTGGGTTGTGAACTACGCTGCTATGAGCCTTGTATGAGGATTTGTGTGGGCGTTTTTTTTTCATTTCTCTTGGGTATGTACGTAGGAATAGAATGCTGGGTCAGATGGAACTCTGTGTTTAACCATTTGAGGAATTGCCAGGCTGTTTTCCAATGTGGCTGCACCATTTTACATTTTCACCGGCAGTGTCTGAGGGTTCTGATTTCTCCATGTTCTCACCAACACTGTCTTTTTTACTGTAGCCATCCTAGTGGATATGAAATTATCAGATTTTATCTAACAAGCGCAGGTAGCTTTCACATTGACTGAAAACACTGTTGAAGGTACAGTAGACCCACTATCCTCCCATCACGTAGAACCTCAGATCAAATCAAGATGCTGCAGTCTTTCTGATATTCTTTGTTTTCTTTCTCTTCATCCACAGGTGGTGGTTACCAACACAATTCCACATGAAATCCAGAAACTCCAGTGTCCCAAAATTAAAACTGTGGATATCAGTATGATCCTTTCAGAAGCCATCCGTCGGATTCACAATGGAGAGTCTATGTCCTACCTTTTCAGAAATATAGGTTTAGACGACTGAACAGCTTCCCTTTTTTAGAACCCCCAAGGGCCAAACTGGAACTGCACGGAGAAGACCGTGGACTGCAATGGATTATGCTTGACTTTGCTTATTTCACAGGAGCCATTTTGTTTTCCCCCAATACCCTTTCTTCTTGTTAATTCTTATGAAGATAGACTAACTTTTTAAGTGGGTTTGGGTGTTTGTGAGTTTTTTGGGGGCAATTTTTAGAAAAGAAAAACTTTATTCTCCTGTTAAAGTAAGTTAAGAGCTGCTTGTTTTTGTTTAGCTATTTAAAAGATAACACTTAGAATAAGATTTTTAAGCTCACAGCCTTTTTCCAAAGTTGCTTGAGCCCAAGTGCTGAATATTCATAAAATAAAATGGTCTACCGTATGATACCTGCAGTTGAAAAGTCAAAAAGATTATACTGTTGAATCTAGTAAATGACATTTTTAGAAATGCTTTTATAGATGAGCATATGAAATAATGTGATCATATTTATTTTCTGGAACAAGAGAAGGAATAAAACTTTGTCATGTGTACATGTATGTTTTTAAACTTTGTGTTCTGGCAGTTTTATAACTACAATAAAGTGTCAGTGAATTAACATGCTGTGGATATAGGAATGTTCAATGACTTGTAAATTTTCCCTTCTGCAACTTTTAGGGGAGACAGTAGACACTACCTCGTAGGGATGTAATATTTCCTGTCTCAACTATCTGTCAAAGACCCTGAAAGTTCATGATGCATAGTAGTTTGAGGTAGGAGAGGGGGCTAAGTCCCCCAGACGCGAGGTGTGTCAGGCAGTAGGTCACTGAGCTGGAGCGTGAGCTGGACGTCTGTTTCTTAGCTTGGCTTTGTTCTCTGCTCCTCATCCAGCAGTACAGCAATTCTCAAAACATCTTATGGGGGGATTAGATGCCAGAGGGGAGTCATGAAGGCCAGGCGATGTGACCCTTGTCGGTGTCACAGGTCTAAGTATTGCCTGTGTTTTTTCTACCTCAGAGCCTCTGTCAGACGAGGCTTCTGTAGCACACTGGGGCCCCAGGAATTAGGCCAGCGTGTTCTCCTACCAAGAGCACATGATGGCAGCCCTGTTAAGACTTGCTCACGAAGAAAGGATTGAGTTTCTTAAAGAAAAAGTAAACCTTTACTTTCTGCTTGTCTATCCCAGACTCGAGTAAAATGGCAGTTGATTTAGCACAGAATGAAGATTAGCCACTGAAGAGAGGTGTGGGAGCCATGGCTCTGCTTCCAGAGGCTGCCTCCTAGCTGTGCCAGCTGTCAGGGTGTCGGTGCTGGCAAGGCTGTGGAAGTCTAGCTCCTCTCCATGCACTCCACCACGTTTCACTTCTGAGAAAATGGTGCAGAGAAAAGGATTTCCCACGCCGAAGTTTTCAAAACCGGTTCATGATAGAGCCATTTACTTTGAAAACATACATTCTCTTTGAGAACCTATTTCTGGAAATAGGAACTTTAGTTCCTCACAAATGTGCTTAGTAATTATGACAGTGACAGCTCCTCTTGGTGCAGCTTTGTCAATAGCTTGTCTTCCTTCAGCCATTGCCACATGAAAGGAAGGGCTTTGGAAACAAGGTTTTCCTTCTAGCCTGTGCCCGTGGGACCCTCAATAATCCTGTGAAATAAACTGGAGAAGCTTCAGCAGCTGTTCTCACATGTGACTCTTGACTGTGTTTGTCTTCCTTTCTGCACCATCTGATGCTATGAGCATTTTCTGTTATAGCTGACAGTTGATGAAGTCACCCTGGAGTTTCTCTTTAAGACCCCTTCAAGATAAGTGACAAGTACCTGCTGAGCCATCACAGAGGCTCTGTGGACGGGCTGCAGGGCAGCGGCCTCCCTGAAGTTAAGGAGTGAAAATGTTGCACAACTGGACAGGAGGAGATGGGCTCTGCTGCAGAATCCATTTCTGAGAAAACATCATCTTGAGTACACTCAGTAGGAAGTTTCCTCAGTGGCTGTGTCCTCCATGGGCTTTCTTGATATGTTGTCCTTTATGAAGAAAAAAACTTACAGAAGAGAAGCGAATGAAAAAGATGTGTAACAGGAGTGTTTTCCTCTGGAAAATGAGCTTGTGGTGAAGCCAGGACCGTTCTAATTCACGAGTATTGAATGTACAGTGCTATCCCTGGAAGGACCTAGAAACTATGGGGATAGATACGCAGGCACCCCGTAGGGACAGAGATGGAGCAGCTGTTCTGGATGGGGACCAGGAAAGAAAACGAGAGATTGACCTTGAAGAAAAAATGATTCTGATGGAGAACAGAGCAGGCTGAGGTTTCCAAGCAGAAGGACTCTTCAGGCAATAGTGCAGGGTGTGCTGGGTGGAGCAGGAGAATGAAGGTGATGAAGGGAGATGGAGGTAGGCCTGAGGGGAGAGGTCCTGGAAGGCAAGTGTAGCATGTTGGACTCTGTGGTCCACGGGAGTACACAGTGGAAAGGAAGTCTCTTACCCAAGCCCCTCAGTCCCCCAGTTCCCCTCCCAAAGGCAGCCACTGGCTCCAGCTTTTTGTATATTGCTGGCTTTCCCTCAGAGAAGCCCTGTTTGCCTTCTAAACTCCTGTCTCTGCTTATTGGCTGGAGACATGTGGAGCTGAACCTAGGAATTCTGTGATAGAAAAAAGCCTGATAGTTTACAGTTTTTATTGTGATGTCATCACAGACAAATGTGGGTTAAAACAGTGCTTTCAGGGCTCCAAGAACACAGGATGGTGTCCCCACTGGGCATGAGTGAATGGAGGGATGAACACAGAACACTCTTCATTAATTTGCTTACTGTTATTCATCGTTCCTTCACAGCCTTCAAGGTCCTGCCACCCACCATGGCTAGGATTCAGAATGAAGCTTCCCACTTCCCAGCCCAATGCTCTTTCCTGCCATCCCACGCATATCCTGACTAAATATCTCACCACTCCATGACATGGGGTGTATGGTGGAGCTGGGAGAGTACCTAGGCATTTCTCAAAGGCTTTGGCTTGGCTTCTTTGTGAATCTTGATCTGAATCCGAAGATTGTTGAGTGGCCAACCTGCCTGCCAGGCTTTGGGTGGTGGTACGTGTGCCTAAGAATTTCAGGTTGGCCCACTGCTGTGGAAACAACTACTAATGAAGGCTACCACTGATGAAGCTCTTACTGCACACAGGCCCTGTCATGGCCTTTGATCTCACTGCCCTGGGTCCTTGCAGCGACCCTGTCTCATGTACCAGGAAACTGGCCCAGAGGCCAAGTTCTTTCCCACTGGCCAGTGTCAGGATTTGAACCCATGTCTGTGTAATCCCAGAGCTAACCCCTTTTCCTTTGATACCATGTGTCAACCAAATACCCCATGATGGCCATGTCCTTCTGCACATGTATGGAAATAATCACCCTTATGAAGCAGAAGTTAACGAGAATTTTTAGAGCTTGATACTAGGGTTTGATTAAAGCAAAACTTTTATTGTTGACATTGAACATTTAGTACTTTGAGTGTTGCTAAATTAGAATTGTGCAGGCTTCAAATATCCTCTCCCATTTAAAGTCTTCCTTGTCTGTGAGTATGGTTTTCTTTAGGAAACTCTAGAAAGTAATCAAGTTACCTTTTATCCAAAAAGAATAGGCTTCTGAGTTTTAAAAGGCCTTAGAGACCTTAGCATTTGAAGATGCCTCAGTGGCTGGGGCATGCTGGACCAGAGGTGTATTGAAGAGCAGACCCTATACTGGTTGTGGCTGGGGCATGGGCAGTTACCTGCAGAGTGACGGTCCAGCCCATGAATCCAGACAGGCACAGGGGACACACAGAGGAGAGATGAGCCAAGGAAGACTTCACAAAGGCGTTGACATCTCAGCAGGGTCTTGAAGGGCGAGTAAAAGTTTACCTGGAAGACAAAGAAGTAGAAGGACATTGAGGTTTGGGGTGCAACAGTCTGGTTGGTGTGACCTGAGCATAAAGTAAGAACTAGGGAGCAGCAGTAGATGGAGCTGGAGAAGGAAGCAGGGACCATGTCATGGAGGCCTTGAATGCCAGACGTAAGAGCTTGGACTTGATCTTATGAGTGGTGGGCACCATCAAAAGGTCATTTTTAAGCTAGTGTGTCATGTCAAGGATTAGGTTTTAGATTATTCTGATGGGTTACAAAGGGTGAGACTGGAGGCAGGATGTCTTAGTTATCTAGTGCTTCTGTAAAAGAAATACCACAATCAGGAGGCTTTAACAAACAAATTTATTTTCTCATGGTTTAGGAGGCTGGAAGTCTGAATTTAGGGTGCCAGCTATAGGGGAAAGCCCTCTCTGTCCTCTCTGGGGGAAAATCCTCGCTTTCAGCTTCTCTTCCTTGGATCCTTGGTGATCTCCACATGACATCAATCTTTCCACATTTGTGCTTCCTTGCTTCTGTGCCTAATCTGAGCAAGTTAGTTAATTTCTCTCTGCCTCTGTTTCTTCATCCATCAGAGGTGGAGGATTGAAGGCAGGCAGTGCCTGGGCACATAGTGAGTGTTGGCCATGATGATGAAGAAGATGATATTATTGCTCTGGGGACTGACTCCCAGGTTCCTGGCCCAAGTGGCTGCTGGTGCCGTCCACCGAGCTTTGGGGAAAAATAGATTTGGATGCAAGGATGATGAGGTTTGGATTGTTGAGTGTAAGGCGCTTGAGTGGAGCTGTTTAGGGGCAACTAGACATGAGTGTCTAGGACTCAGCCACCAAATCAGTAACATACTTCAGCTTCAGTTTCCCACTCTGTGGTCTGCAGGGAAACCCATCCTGAATGTCTTGTGTGAGGATTAATTGAATTGATGTAAACACAAGTGACTAGCACAGGATGAACATTCAGAAACTGTTGGTTGTCTGGGACCAAGCTTGTTGAAGAAGTTTTGGTTCCTACCTACTATCCTTCACAAAGCTCTCAACAAAGCTCTCTTCAGAGCCTGTCTACTCAGTGATTTGAAACAGCCAGAAGTGGCAGCCAGGAGGGAGAGCAAAGATAGGTTCAAAGGAGCACCTTCTGCGGGCCAATGTGCTGGTCTGAACTAAGACTGAGGCCTGAGGTATTAAAAAAAAATGAACTCAAACCATTCAGAAGTGTTCACACTCTTAAAGAAAAGTGATAATACTTCTACCCTCACCCTTCGTTCCCTCTCATTAGTAGTTTCATGTGTATACTTCCAAACATTTCAGATATTTAGACATAAATTTTTGTATAAGTAAGGGGGCAAGTATACATATTGTTCTGTAGCTTGCATTTTTCACTTAAAAATGTATCGCCTTTAGTTACATCACTGAGTTTTAGAGTAGGGAACTCCAAAACTTTGTCTCTCCACTAAAGCAATGATTAAGTTGGCAAAAATTGTCAGAATCAATCTTTTCAGAACTCTGGAATCTAGTTAAAACTGATGACACCAGGGGAATGCTTGATGAAGAAAGAAACTGCTAAATTTCAATAAGAGCATTGTGGCATTTTAACTTACCTGCCCACCATCCCCCATTCCCCAGCATGATGGTGGACATGGGGACAGTGGCTTCTGTTGCTGAGTGCCAAAGGGGGTGATATGAACCTTGTTCTCAAAGAACAAGTGGTTGTGTGTTTTGACCTGTCTGTTGGCTCAGGGGTTGCCTTTGTTTTGTCCACCTCAGAACTTTCTTAGTGCTGGAGAAGCCTCCTAGATGGTGTTTCTCAAAAGCATTTAAAGGAGAATATACTAGCCACAGCCACCTAAGACAAGGGATAACATATAGGGAAGGCAGTAGACAGATCAAAAAGCCTGAGAAGGGAGAAGCTGGGGAAGGAGATATATGGGAGGAAAAGCTTTGAAAAACTTCCCATATATACCAGGGAATTTAGAAGGCCACATGCATGCCCAGGACTGAACACATGGTTAGAAGGCCTGTGAAGACCCTAACCTTTAACCTCTGGCTGACCCACAGGCTCCATGCAAGCAGGAAGTGAAGGCTAAGGCAGAGTAGTAATGAGACTAGCTAGACATTAAAGGACTACCCCAACACACAGCTGATCTTCAAAAGCTGGAATATTTTTTGGCTCTAGGTGTTTAAGGATATCTCTGTCAAGTCGCTAGTTGATCACTAGACCATGAGAAAGAATATAATAATTACAAAAATAGTTTAGAAAATTCACTAAACAAAGCTCCACAACAAGCAGAAAGATCAAACCCTAGGAAGGGGGGAGATCTGATTTCTAGGGTTATCACAGTATAATATTCCAAATGTCTGTTTTTCAGCAAAAATTACAAGACAGGAAAAGAAACAAAAAATGATGGCCCATTCCCAGGAAAAAATAAAAGAAAGAAAGAAATCAATAGAAACTGTGCCTAGGAAGCCCAGATATTGGATTTACTAGATGAAGACTTTAAATCACTGTTCTCAATATGGTCAAAGAGCTAAAGGAAAACATAAGAACTGTGTCTCACCAAATAGAGAATATTAATAAAGAGAGAAAAATTATATAAAGGAACCAATAGAAAATTTGGAACTAAAAAGTACAATAAAATAATTCACTGTTGTTGTTAGACGCCATTGAGTTGGTTCCAACTCATAGCCACCCTAGGCACAACAGAACAAAACAGTGCCCAGTCCTGCAGCATCCTCACAACTGTTGCTATGCTTGAGCCCATTGTTGCAACCACTATGTCAATCCATCTCATTGAGGGTCTTCGTCTTTTTTGCTGATCCTCTACTTTACCAAGCATGATGTCCTTCTCCAGAGACTGATCCCTCCTGACAACA